GGCAGCTCAACGGAGGGAAAGAAAATCACCATCATCATTAAATGCCATTCACATAAGCGTAAGCTTCCTTATTTTGCTCTCTCATGCGATCATCAGAATCACAGATAAGCTCAGTTCTCTCAAAGCAAAGGGAAGTGAGATACTATAATGTAACTGTTTCTACCAAAACCCAGCCTAAAATACCAGGTCAAGGGCTGGGAAGTAAAGGTGGCTGGCACACTGAGGTGGCTGGCATGCTGTTGACTATATTAAACATTGAGGGTTGTTGGTCTATAGAAATATCAGTCTAGCAACATATGCTCTCTGTGCCACTGGCATTAAAACAGTCCTTTCCTTTATTTAACTTTTCTCCCAATAGATGCTGGTGTGTTGAGACATGAATAAGTAGATAGCCTGGCTGGTTCTGCACCAACTGGTAATGAATTAATGCATAACAAGCCAGATGTTTTAAGGGTCCTTTGGGAGCAAATGAAGAATGTGGAGGCACAAACAGATCACCACAGTGGGGCTGCAAGGATCGGCTAGGAAATCTGACCGACATCCAACACTCAGGAAAAGGCGGGACGGACATGCAAGCACTCTTGGTACTGGTGACATGATACAGCCAATCAATGAATCAGGAACTGACATCACTGCAACTGGGACATCTGCATACCTGCTCCATCTCCTCCCTCAGTAGCCAACAAAGAATCCTCATGTTCATACTGCTGGCTGCAACCTGACTAAAAGTCTGCCTATGTTTTCCACTCAGTGTTGAATATTGCCTGGAACATCCCCTCCCCCTTAAATCTTCTTTACAATGGATTCGTCTTTCAAAGAATGGATATGCTGTCTGTTCTGTCGCACTGTCCACCTGATCCCAGAGAGCCTTCACCTTGTCTGCTTTACCATTTACTGCCCAGAGGAGCAGCAGCAGCCAATCTAACAGTCTGTTGACTACTCAGCACATCAAATAGAATGTTCTGATCAGAACGTCCATGATTTATTTCTGATCTGAGTCTTATCAACCAATGAAAGCCACTCTTTGCATAGACGCCAATTTATATCCTTCAAAGTTGCTGTATGAACACATTTACAACATGTTGGGTTGTGCTGATCAGAAAGCTGTCGTGACTGTCTCCACCTCCATTCTCATGCAGTCAAAAGCTAGGGAAAACAAACCTGAAAAATCTTGTCATAATCAGATGAGCCATGGCTTAACAAAACAGTGCAACTAGCCCTTCATACAGAAAAATCAGACCCCTTTTATACAACGAGGCACATAAAGGTTAATCCATATTTTATGGCCACTCAAATCGACAATACATTCATATATATAAATGTGTTTCAGACAAGTTTTGTCTAGCATCCTGGCCTTCATCTGCTCTTTTCCTAGAACGTTGATTACATTAGTTCAAAACATGAAAGTGTCAATGGATCTATTATTTTCAACATAAAATGTTTAGTAAAAAAAAATATCTCCTGATTTAAACACACGTGTATTAGCCACCAACACAAATTAACACACAGAGAAAAAAAAAACTTATCATCATCAGTTTCCACTTCTACCCTTATAACAATAACCACCATTGTAGCCAAAAGCCATAAACCTTTTTTATAACCTCCAGATCAGCATGCCACAATGAATGTATATGCTTGTAATATATGTGGATGTTTATACAAGCTGGTTATCAATGAATATATTAAAGTTAGTATACTAAGATGAATATATTAAAAAGTAATTAATTATATATGACCCAAGCTGAAGTTAATATGGAAGGACTAGCACATTGCTAGAATAAGACAGAAATGTTCATGACAAATGATCTATCAGTAAACAGTTGGTAGTACTTACAGCAGTGAAATGGTGACGGCAACTGATCAGTCAGTAAACAATGATAAATACTTAATTTGTGTCAGAAACAATACATATTATGCACTTTTTAGTCACACAGCTCGTTAACTTGTTTAGGGTTCAAAAGTGTACATCTTATGCACTTTTTAATTACACAACTTGTTTACTCATAACATTTTGAAGCATTATAACTTAGGATGTTGGATATAACATTCAGTATTTCCCGGGTGAGTTCCATGGCTCCATTTGGAGAACAAAGGATATACCCACTGCTCCCTAAAAAGTAAGTCATAGGAGGTGACTTATTAGGGGTGTTTCTTTCAAAGTCAGAGTGCATTGGCCTGAGAGGCAAGGTACCAACAATCTGCATACAAATCAGCCAGATCTGTAAAATGGATGTGCAGGCAAAACTCGAGTTCCCAATCAAGACTGAAGTCTAGGAGTGACTTTTTGCCCATCTACAGCCAGCGAATGCTGAAAGAAAAAGAATAAATTCAGTATTACCAAAATGTATTTTCAAATGCATATATATTTCTATCACACTGCTTATGTACAAATGAGGAGTGGTTGACTGGGTGGTCATAATGATGTGCTTCCATTAGGAAGACTTGGGTTTGAATCCTTAGTAAAGTTCTGCAAAAAAAAAAAAAAAAAATATATTAACCTGCAAAAATTTCATGGTGACTGCAATAGCCAGGTAGTAAAAGGTGATCAACAGACAGTAACAATTGACTTATGCTGCCCTAAACCACAGTAAAAAAAAGTGATCAACACAGACAGTAACAACTGACTTATGTACAACTATTAGCCACTCGGGGAGAAACAATTTTAATTACTGTACAATTAATTGTTGTTTAAAATGCTAGTCATGATATTTTAAAAAAAAAACCATCACTGTGTCTGAACAAATGCAATGCCTTCATTAATCAGCTCACAGTCTGGAAGACATTCCACACCTATAGAAATTGAAACTTTTTCCTACAAAATGCCCCCCCCCCCCCCCCCCCCCCCCAAACACATACACACAGTAATAAGTGACTTTGTTTAAGAAATATCTGCATTTTTTCTATAATCACCCCTGTTGAAATGCTCACATATAGACTAATATGGAGAGAAAACACATCCATCATTCCTCACTGTGGTAGAATAAAGTGATTCACAGCATGCTCAATGCAGAAAGTCTTTATTCACTGACAAAATTATTAACTCTGTATCTCTTTTACAATACTTGGCGGGTGATGTGGTAAACTTTACAAAATTTGCCTTTACATCCCAAGTCATTATCTAGTGCCCTGGGAGCCAAGGCCAGTTCTGAAAGGCATCAAAGAATCCGCCTTGATGCAGATTCAAAGCAGCTTCTATGGATGCTCTAGTTATAACTTCTTAATATGGAATGGGGAAAAGGGGGGGGGGGGGGCAGTCAGTCAGGATCCTGGTACATTAACATGGCTGCTGGCCAGATCTAGAGTTCACATATGCACTGTGTTTGAATTGTTCCTTTCAAAACTTATCTTGGCCGGCATGCTGTTGAACACACTGGCCTACCGACTGGTCTACAAAACATACAGATCTAGCACTAGATGCCCAATGTGGTAAAGGTGAAAAAAAGGTACTTTTACTCTTTACTAGATCATGGAAAGAAAACTGCTAGGTCTAAACACACACCTTCATCATCATCATCATCAGGTGTCTTGCCAACTGGTGTGGGCGATCATACCTCTCCACAAAGTCTGCGATAAGTTGTCTTCGGGCTCCAGCCTCTTTCAAAACCTCCTGGTTGCTATTTTTGACTGTCCACTGTATTTTAAGCATTCTTTAAAACCAAGATGTAAAACCACTTCTCTGAGGCCTCAAGAAATACACACACATTTGATCACATGTTAACCCAAACTGGCCAGTCTTACACTGTTTAATTTTTAAAAAAACTAAACTAAAATTTTTCTATAAAAAGAAGGACGTGACACCAACATGAAATTAGCCCAGATATGTTCAGTTCTGTTATTAAATGTCCCTTTATTAAAAATTGTTCCAACTGCTTTGTTTAAAATCACACAGAGATTTTTAGTTAGTAAAAGACAGTAAAAATCAGAAGCATAAATTAGATGCAAATTCCAGTTTAGCTGATGCTGAAAATGCTCTCCCCACGGGGAAGAAAGAAAAAAAAAAGGGGGGGGGGGGGGAAATCATGGTACAAGATAAATAATAACAACTGAATAATTTGATCAAATTGAAGGCGGCTCAAAATGGAAATAGTCTATTCAGAAATACAGCAAATGCAGACTAAAACACAAATTACAAAATCTCAACAAGAGATGTAATAAATCCACAGGTTACTACAGCTACAACACTGTTCTCACCATGGGGCAGCTCACTCTTGCCTGGCTGTGACTGATCATATCATTACAGGTCCATTTAACAACTATCTCCACATGAATTTCATTACCACAATGACATACAGGAAGTGCATTAGCCTGCTCAGATGGTGATCTGGTTCAATTCCCAGAAAAAGCATAATTATTTTTCCAGGCAAAGCAATCAGCTTTTAGTTTGAACAATTTGGGAAAACAACGCTGTATGACTTCATGCAAATAACAACAATGGAATAAAATAACAACAATGGAATAAAATAACAACAATGGAAGAAATGAACTAAATACAAGTCTAAAAGTTCAGTTAGAAGCCCACCTTCTATTTACGAAAGTGGTTTACAGAAAAACTGTCATCCATTATCCAGTTCTGTTCATTGTAAAGCTACAACATTTATTTATTTATTTAAAATTATTACAGCCACCCTTAAAAAATGTAAATTCTTTAATGTTTTTTAAAATATGATCAACACAGACATTGTTAATAAACCTGTCGTTTATTTAATGTCTTTCCAAATGTAATTCACAAACACATTGTAATGAAAAAAAAATTTTAAGTATCTTTTTTTAAAATGTGAGTCACACAGATGCAAATCTGTCAAAGTTAACTACCTTAAAATTCTCATTCATTTTGTGATTTCTGGTGCTGCAAGCTTATCAAAGACATAATTACTCTGTCATTCTCACTTCTTTCTTTCCTTGTTAACAGAGAGTTGCACAAGTGTTTCCTGCAATCTTGACTCTGATCAGTGAAGTCTTAAATGTAACAGTGTTAGACTGTTGTAAACAAACAGCTGCCTCTAGTAAATATAGGGGACAATTCTGTACTTGACTTGTTGACAGTACCGGTCCCAACTGGCACCATACTTCTTCCTGCATTTGGCATCATCACGTCGTTCACGGTAGACCAGGAAGACCAACAAGTAGATGACATAAAAGTAGGGGATGAGGCTTCCAAATCCTGGTTAATGACAAGAGTTACATCATTAGCAGAAATGAAACAGAAGACAATGAAAACAATTTGTGATTAGTTAGTAAAGGACTATTTTTAACATCCTTAGGCGTATTGAGTATACAGCATTATATATACATTTATAGACCAATCAGAACTCGGTGAATGATGTGGTCAGCATATACTTCCTAGGACATTACCTGGTACCCATTTTAGGCTGGGTCAACTTGGGAGCCAATAACAATTTCTGAAGAAAAATGGTGACAAAATAGGCCACCATGCAGATGAGGATCACCCGTGGAGAGGTCCCGGAAACCCCATTCAATTGTTAGGCCATATTTAAGGCCGGGCTATATTTAGGGCCGCCCGGCAAAAGCCAGTGTGGGGCTCCCAAGAAGACAAGAGAACACTGTAATGAGTTATGTTCTCTCTCTCTCTCTCGTTTGCTCACACGTGCACGCACACACACACACACAAAAGTTACAAAAACTGCATAAAGAATGGAGTCAGGTTACAAAAAAACTCAGTAAAAATGAAAACCATAAATGGCTATTTACATTACCTACTATTATTGAGAAATCACAACAATAACGAAAAATCATTAGAAAACAAAAGTGGATGGTACACTGCCTTGTGGTTTAGAGCTAGGCTGTATTATCTGTGCCTTTCGGCCCAACACATGATTTTAGCAAACACCCATTTCAAGACATGCTTGATTAATGCTTCTTCTTAGCATTAATTCTTCTTGGCATTGACTGGCTGTAAACTCCAGCAGAACGTTCTGGTTGTTCATCCACTTCTGGACTTTGTTTGGTTCCAGAACTTGAGTTTTGTGTGCACATACGTTTACAGATCTGGCTTCTATATATGCAGATGTTGCTTTCTCATACCTCAGGCAGATGCACACAGACTTTGAATTAGTTGCTTTTTATGAAGCAGTAGGTGTATTATCCCCCCCGGCCCTGGAATTGACAGGAAAATTTAGCCAATTTAAAAAATGTATTCATGCACTAAAAAATGTGAATGCAATGCCAAGTTTTGACTGCATCAACGATCACATCCCACTACATGCACAAATTAAAAGAGGAAAAGATTTAAAAGAGATAACAAAAGAGATTTAAAATATTAGACTCAACAAAAACTATTTTAAGAAAATTGACCTTAGCTCCCATGTTGACCCAGCCTAAAATCTTCTTCTTCTTCTTTCGTTCGCATGAAATAAATTCTCTATATCTGCAAAGCTGTCTCTAGTATGAATTTCACTGTCTTTTGTAATTCACTAAGCGGCCCGTAAAGTTTGACTTCCACAAGTGTCTCTTTTGGCCAAAGGTTTTGCCTGAAAGCGTTGAATCTGGGACAGTCTTGAAGGATGTGATCTGTTGTTTCAGGTGCCAGTCCACAAGTACACATGGCTGATTGGCCAATCTTAAATTTGTTGTACATGTGGGAGCGAAGTCGATTGTGCCCTGTTCTAAGGCGAAGGATAATGACTTGCTCTGGTCTGTCCATAATATGGTAATCATCTTGTGCCAGTTTCGGTGGCATTCTGATTGATTTGATCATTCTCTTCTTCTGTTGATAAGAGACTGGTATGTCAGGTTGTTCTTCAGTTGCACCTTCCTTAGCTAGTTTATCAGCTTTTTCGTTTCCGGGAACTCCACAGTGGGAAGGTATCCACTGCATTACTAAATTGCAACGGTTGCCTAGTTCGGATAATAGTGTCCGTATGCTTGGTAATTTTCCAGACTGGAGTGACTGAAGTACTGCTTTTGCAGTGAAAAATACCCTGTATTTAGTAGTTTCTCTACCGCTATCTTGATGGCTTGAACTTCTGCATCATAGTTGTGACAGTGCTTTCCCGTTGGTAATTTGGCTGTATCCCTGGTATTATTAGGATACTCAATGTACACTCCCGCACCTCCGTTTCTGACTGCGCTTTCTGCTGACCCATCTGTGTAAACATGGACCCAAAGGTTCTGCGGGTATTTATCATCAAGTAGACTGAGGGTGGCTGTTTTGCGCTGCACACTGTTTTGTTCTTCCTTGTCAAATACCCCTTTCACTTCAGTCTTGATGTGTATTGGAAACTTATACTCCTCTCTCCAGGGGTCCGTTCTGGGACAGCATTTAAGGATCTATCAGTTCCAGGTAAATCAGTGGTTTGTTTGCCGAGCCGTTTGGCCTGGTGGATGAAACTACTTCTCTTTAGTCGTCCCAAAGCTAAATTTTTGAATCTTTCATTCATAGGGTGACTGGGCATACTAAGAAACTTTTCTGCTTGTAAAAGCATCTTGGTGTCTCTGCGTTCACTGAGTGCTTGGGTCATCCCCATTTTCTCCATCACAGCTATAGGTGTTGATTTCATACTGCCTGTGGTAACTCTGATTGCTTGATTTTGCACTTTGTCTAATTCTTGCAATGTGGTTTTTGATGCCGAACTCCATGCTGTTGATCCGTATTCAAGATGTGGTCGAACACTTTGTTGGTAAACTTTTCTAAGTATTTTCCCGCTAGCACCCCATGTGGTTCCACTTAGTTTTCTCAGAATGGCTATCCTCCTTCTGGCTTTGGTTGCTGCCTTGTTGATGTGTTTTCTCCATGTTAATCTATCATCAAACGTTACTCCGAGGTATGTGGGCTCCTTATCCTCTCTCAGGGGTACTCCATTTATGTGCATGACACCTGATTTTTGTTTAGGAGAAAGGGTAAAGAGGGTGGTGCTGCATTTGCCTATGTTGATGCTGACACACCATTTGTCCGCCCAATCAGCCATTGCATCTATGGCTCTTTGTAGCAGTCTGGTGGCCACTGTCGCATTTTCATTTGTACACCAGAGTACCAAGTCATCAGCATACATTGCAGCTTTAATTCCATGGGGTAGTTCAGAAAGCAGGTCGTTGATATAGACTAGGAAGAGTGTGGGGGACAGGACACCTCCTTGTGGGACGCCATGGCGCAGCAAAACTTTCTTACTCTTAAGTCCATCTATCTGTACTCGGGATCTTCTGTTATACAAGTATGCTTTCACCCATTTGTACATACTCCCATTCACCCTGCAGTCTCTCAGTTTCTTCAGTAGACCTTCTTTCCAGACCTTGTCAAAGGCTTTCTTCAGATCTATCCATGCCGTTAGCACTAGCTTTTTTTCCTGGAAGGCATCCTCAATTTCTTGTGAAAGGTAAGTTGTCTGGTCTTCTGTGGAGTAGCACTGTCTAAATCCTGCCTGCTGTGGCGTGAAAATGTTTTCACTTTCCAAGTACCATTGGAGTCTAAGGTTGACAATACGTTCCATTGTTTTACAAAGGCAGCTGGTAAGACTGATCGGTCTATAGCTGGAGGCATCAGAACTGTCCTTTCCTGGTTTAAGCAGAGGTATTGTGATTGCTTCTCTCCATATTTGAGGAACTTTGCCACTTGTCCAATGATTAAAGATCTGTAGCAGCTTTATTTTGGCAGTTGATCCAAGGTTCTTGATCATTTCGTTGGTGATTCCATCAGTTCCAGGTGATTTTCCCATTCTCAGCTTTGATATTGCTAATTCTAACTCGCTGGATGTAAATGCTGCCACCAGTGCCTCAGGAATTATATCGTTTTGTCTTGTATGTTGTTTGTTTTCTTGAACCTCTCGCTGTTTCTCTGGGCTGACATTAATGTTGCTGTCTTCTGCAAAGGAATCAGCTGCCTGTTTTCTTGTTAGGATGGCTCCCTCTTTGCATAGTGCAATATTACCATTTCTTCCTGTATTCTCATCATTAATTTGCTTAATTAACCTCCACAACTTCCTTGTGTCTCTTTCAAAGTTTATTGACTGTGTCTTTTCCTGCCAGCTTCTCCATCTAGCCTGCAGTTTGGCTCTTTGAAATTTGGCCTTTGAATGTTGGTAGTTGTTGAACTGCTCTTGACAAGGTCTGGTCTCAGCTTGTTTTCTTTCTGTTTCCATATTGTTGTGCAGTTGCTCCAGATCGCAATTCCAGTACGGTTTGTATTGTTTACGCGCACCTCTTGGAACTGCTTCTAGGGCTGCCTGCAGCATGCGTCTGCTCAACTCTTGGACTACTTTTCTACGTCGTTATCTGTGTTAAGATTTTCCAGCAGAACATTTGTGCGAAGCTGATATAACTTCCAGTCTGCCTTCTTAAAATTCCACCTTGGCAGTGTGCTGCTCTCTCTCTTACAGACTGGCTTTCTATAGTTAGAAAGACTGGCCGGTGGTCACTGCCTCCTAGTTGCTTCCCAACAGTTCTGGTAACATTCAGTTCCATGTCTGCTGAGTGAAAGGCTAGGTCTGGTGTCGAGGTGGTATGCCATGCTCTAGAGTAGAAGGTTGGTGGGTCGGTTGGCTTATTAACGAGGATGAACCTATTCTCATCCTGCCAGTCCTCTAGTTTCTCTCCTCTCTGATCCATATGATCGTAGCCCCAACTTTGGGAATGGCTATTAAAATCCCCACAAATGATCATTTTTTCATTTATTAGTACTGTATCCAGTGCCTGAGGGCGGTCGCTCGGACAGTAATAGTTGGTCAGATGTAAATCTGTATTTTCTAACTTGAGCTCAAGAGTTTGATACTCAGCACCTTCCATGTATGTTTCGATCCGGCCAGCAAGGATGTTATTTTTGACCAGGGTAAGAATTCCACCTTTTCTCCTGTCTTTGCGGTCAGATCGGAAACACTGGTAGCCTCTGATCTTAAAGGCCATATCTTGTTTGAGATACGTCTCTTGTAGGCAGCATACATGTATATTCTCTTCGTTCAAGACGTTTTCTAATTCTAATTTCTTAGTATTTACTCCCTCCGCGTTCCAGTGCATTATTTTAAGGCTAGCTGTATTTTCTGCTTTTCTGGTTCTACGGGGCATTAGGGGGAGGCTTCGAGTATTTGAAGCTGGACTCTTTCTTCTTGTCGTAGGCCGGTAAATAGAACCACGTGTACGTGAGTGGGTCACATGGTGGAAATAAAACTTATTTGCAGATATAGAAATATTCCCTGTTGCATTTGTGCGTGGCATCCTGATTGCTGTGGTGCGCCTCCTGGCTGGTTGCTTCCGACTTCAGCACCTTGTTTTGCTAGAGTAGACTGGGGTCTTACCCGTGGACTCCCATGTTTATAATGGGAGCGTGGCTCCTACGCGGTTACATAATCGGAATTAGGACACGGCCGCTGCCGTGGCTATTTTGTGGAAATAATTCCGTTATAACACCCCTAAACCACATAATACTTGTATCCACGAACAAGAGAATATCCATCGTCAATGAATTAGTAATAATCGCACTCTGTTATCAAGAGAAAAACACCGATTAAGTGAAAATTTTAGAATAAAATCGTGTGTCGCTGCAAACACGTCTTCACGCTGCCATTTCCAAACCGAAAGTCTCACCCAGCCTAAAATGTAAACAAGGTTATGTCCACGCTGCCCAGAATGGTGTTAACCACATCACTTACAGAGTGCCCACTGGCCTACAAGAATGAGTCTAGCACCATATGCAATACAGACCCAGCATCGTAAAACTAAACACTAGATTATTTCCAGAATTTGTATAGAATTGTCTGGAAACATAAAGTGCAATGTGGGGAACCAGCACGCACGCCTAAAATATCATGGCCTAGTATGTGTGAAAGCCTAACACTTCACACCCCAACAGCAGTATCTGCTACATGACTACCTTTACACACAAAAAACATGCACTCATGACTATGACTGCCAAAATGATGAATGTATATAACAAAGTACTGACCTGTGGTAAGTGACCATGACAATGTCAACATGAGATCACCAAGATACATCGGTTTCTGACACACGCTCCACCAACCTGATATTAGGATTCTTCTGCTGGTTTCTGTAGGTAATGAATCAAATGCTGCAAAGAAAGAATATATGTTCACACTTTTACTACAGAGGCTGAAAGGGGGGAAATCGTGGATGGCTCAAGCAGAAGACATAATAAGACAAGTATGCATGCTGGAGAACATTGGGCGAGAAGAGGAGTGGGTCAGAGTACCAGCGGGAGAGTCTGACCTGTGCAGGGTTATGATAACATTGGGCTGGGTGTGCAAAGAGTGGCCAGCTGGTGTTATAGAGGTTGAAGTTCAACAGTTGATTCACGACAATTCACGCCCAGGTGATCTGATTACCTATACAGATGGTTCTGTGTTGAGAGGAAAGAGAAGTACCTGGGGGTTTGTAGCGAAAGCTAATGGAAAATCTTTAGTTCAAGACAGCATAGCATATGACACCACAACATCTAGCATGAGAATGGAGGTGGAGGCGGTAGCTGCAGCTCTCCAGTGGCTAGAGAACAAGACGCATACACATGTCATAAGTGTAACTCTGAAAGCATGCTGACAAAGGTGAGGACAGGGATGCTTCGAGCAGAGTAGGTAGCTTCAATGGAAAGGTTACGGGTGGTGAGGATACTTTGGATCTTTTCTCCAGGCCATGCCGGCGTGGTGGATAATGAACAGGTAGACAGACTGACTGGATCTGCACCACTGGGTGGTGAATTGATACATGAGAAAGCAGATGTGGTCAAGGCCCTTTGGGAACAAGCAACGGAATCAGTATAGAAAGAATATTACGGCCTAGAGAGAATGAGCCACCTGGGTGTAAACAGAGGGTCTGGCTGGCTAACTACACTCAGGAAAGGCAAGACAGACATATAACCAGATTGTGACCAGTACCATCAATATTTGAACTCTGCTGGCTGCTGAAGATGAGGACGGAACATGCATGGGAATGCCCCAAGTGCTGTGATGTCAATTTTTGACTAACTCAACCTTTACTACAGTTTTTTTATTGTGTATGATAGACAAATCTGTCATATGGTATCTGTCTTGAGATTCTCTACAATCTGTATCTATTAGGTATTTGTTACAACAAAGCTAGAGCTGCTTTTGGAAGGATGAGGCAAATCTGGAAATCAAACAATTAATGCAGAGGAACAAACCTCCGACTCTACAAGAGCATCATTTTGCCAGTTCTTCTTTTTGGAGCGGAATGCTGGAGAATGACCAAAAAGGATGCACACGAGCTGTCCACCTACCACCACAAATGTCTACGTAGAATTATCAAAATTTTCTGGCCAGATACAATCTCAAACACTAAACTACTTCAAGCCACAAATCAAGAAACTTTAGACAGTATGATTACCAAGAGAAGATGGAAATGGCTTGGCCACGTTATGAGAATGACTTCTGATATACCTGCCAAAACAGCTCTCACATGGACACCAGAGGAAAAGAGAAAACAGGGCTGCCCAAAAACAACGGAGATGAACGATGGAAAGTTACCTGAGTGCGGAATCTTTGACATGGAAAACTGCACTGAAGATTGCACAGGACAGGAAAGCATGGAAAGTCCTCTCTGAAGCCTCATGTGCCACTGGGCATAACAAGAACTGATGATGATTTGTTACATGCTTGCAACTTGCAATGTTGTGTTTATTTATTGTCTCCACTTTGTAAAATAATTTTTCAGTAGCAGTCAGGTGTCAGTCCTTGGTTTGCAATGCCAATTTGATAGATATTTCAACATATTTGTCATCTGTCACGCAGTTAGAATTATAATTTGATAGACAGTTAAAGCTTTATGTTACCTGTCATCTAGAAGGATTTTCATTTGAACCTACTCGTCAACTAGTAGGATCCTCATTTGATAGGCATCTGAACCTATCTGTTATATGTCATCTTGTTGGATTCTCATCTGTAGGACATTTGAACCTGTTTGTGATTCAGTAGGATTCTTGTTCAGAAGGCAGTTAAACTGAATTTGTCATCTAACAGGGACCTCACTCAGTAAACATTAAAACCAGTTTGTCAAATTAGTTGGTAAACTTTTAACGGATATCAGTCACCCAAGATTTAGAGGTGCACTATGACTGCCACAGGCTTTACCACAGCATGGTTTCTGGTCACTGCATCTCTATCGCCAACTCCAAGATCCCTTGCCAGTTCAGTTCACATTTATTTTAGCCATGTCTCCCTGATACACCATAAGGCCATAAGGCAGGAATCTTGCACGAGGTTCTGTAAAACCAGCAGAGCCTGCAGATCTCCCAGGGTATAGCAGTGCCCAGGATAAGGATATTCTGGGCCTCTTCCCTAGCAGGCACGTTATTGTCAGCTGACCAGATACTTGCTGCATTATTAAAACTGTCAGAGATGCAGGATGTGGCTAGTATCCAAGAAACTGTTCAGGTGACCACTTTTTTGGTTGGGTTGTGACCGCTCAGCTGGGACTACTGATATATTGCAGATCTCCAGGTGTTTCAATCTAAGTACTGATTTCTACGCATAAAAACACTAGCGGTTTAAACATAAAAAATTGTAACAGAATAGCAGAATATATCCCTAAATGGCTCAACACACAACTGAGTAGAGATCCTGCAAGTATGTTATGATCAACCAAGAAGAGAGAAACTAATTATCAGATAGGATGTCATTTGCTTGACTCAAAGCAGGTAGTTGACAGAGATTGATACTTCAAAGTTTTTTACCACACACAGCATAGGTGCTTACTGAAACTGACAGAAAATGTGACAATTACAATGAACAGTCTCATGTTGTGCAAACAAAAAGAGCATGTGGTAAATCTGAAATTTCTGTAGTAATTACATGAATAATCTTGAATTTCCGGTGGTGAGATATACAGTTTAACTAGAGATGCTGGGATTTGTGTATTTCAGTATAAAGATTCATATTCTATGCCTTATTGTATGTTGATGTATTTCTGTAGTAATGCACCTGATAAGATACAGCAAACTATGCCAGGCAATAAATTGTCCAATGTACTGTATATGTCTGAAAATTATAACACGCTAAATATTTAGACAAAAGCAAGCTTACCTGAAGTTGTGTGGTGTTTTATGTCTCTCTTAAAATGAATCTTCTCTAACTGCGACTTTCGATATATATAGAAGCCCACAACTGAAGAAAAAAGTAAGACCTGTAAACAATTACTGCATTAAAACAAAACAGATCAGTGGGTCCCAGTTACATGTAAACCCTTTTGCCCTGTGAAGCCGCAAACAAGGCACATGCCTGTGATGAATCCATGTAAATAACACTTAACCAGCATGGCTGTAGTGACTCTGAATCTGTGCAGTGTTTAGGAAGCCGGTGAATATCATTATATTTAGTAAACAAAAACAGCATTTGTGGTGAGTGGGGGAGTGGTTTATGATTAAAAATTTGCTTTTTCTCCCAGCCATAATGAATCATAATTTACCCTGACTTGGTAGTCAGATAGCGACGAGCCAGCAAGGTCAAGTATGAGTCACAATATATTTTTTTTTAAAGCCCATGGGAGTAAAATTTATTTAATTTTAAATTCATTAAAAATTTTCTGATGACTTCCATTCGTTAAAATTAAAAAAAAAAAAAAAAAAGGTTTGAAACATTGAAAAACTTGTGTTCTAAAAAAAAAAAAAAAGATTTATTAATGACAAGTATAAAATGGTTGGGTTTTTAGATGGATTTTTTGGGAACTCCTAGAACCATAGCTTTTTTCTCTCAGGTTGCTGAGATGAAAGGGTTCAAACTAAGTTTCAGGTAATCTGCACAATTTGTGGGACTGCACTAGCTAATAGGCTCTTAATCTAGATCCACAGGCTCAAGGACACCCCCCGCACTTTACACATAAATCACTTGTAAATTCAGGCAGCAAAGACAGTTATAAATTTGTATGGCTGTGAAAAAACCTCTGTTATTCCTTGAGTCCCAGGAGATCACAACAGCTGCATATTTTCATAGAGCAGTCAGCAGAGAATAAGTGACATGGTCAGCTTCTTTACTTATAAAAAAAAATTTTTTTTTAAATAAATGTTATCCTGGGTTGATCTGGGAGTTTAAAGATTTAGTTTACTGAGTATAAAAAACAAAATTAAGCTAACAGGCCCTGCTGCTGACGTCACCAAACCAGGCTAACAATATGTTATTGCAGGGATTCTCAAACTGGGGGCTGCGGCATATGTCAGGGATGCAACGGCAATAATTAAGAATTTTTCAAAATCTGCCTGACATAAAATTATTGTTTTTTTTTCTTCTGAAGTATTTAAACCGCTTTAAGGGTAGGTGTGCCGCGAAATGTTTTTTCCCTATAAAAAAAAAAGTTTCAGAAACACCGCTTTAACGTATCGTTAGCCAGGTTTGGTGGCGTCAGAAGGATGGCCCATCAGCTCGAGCCAGTCTTGGAAGAAAAATATTTTTATACACGGGTGATGTGGTCAACATCTCCTTTACTTCACAGGATTTTGGCCTGTTCCCGTTTTAAGCTGGTTCAGTTATAAAAATCCACTAAATTGCAGACATGAACTACAGATACAGGCAAGGATCTAGCCACTGAGCTGCCAGGGTTGCCGGTAGCCTAGATAACTAGTTCAAAAGTTATTCACAAATGACACACTAATACTTACTTTGGAGCAAGGCTATTGGAACCAGGCAGTACCAAGGCAGTGTAAATGAGTTCCGATAAAGGTACAGAGGTTGAAGACTGTAGAAGAAGGGCATCCAGGCCAAGCCACCAAAAATTAATAAAAATCCACATCCATCGTGAGCAATTTCCAATGTTGTCAGGAAGGCATCCTGAAATAAAACATGCTATTAATATAATTGTAATAAATAACTATTTCTTCTTCTTCTTCTCTTCCACCTTGTACCTCAGTGAAGTGTCGGGGGAGGGGAGATCTTTTTCTTTTTCTTCTTTTCCACCTTGCACCTCAGTGAAGTGTCCGGGGGAGATGTAACATTGGTTGATGAGCTCTGTTAAGAGCACTAATAAGATTGATGTTCATTTCTGTAAGGCTGTTCTTAATGCCATCACTCCATATTTTCCGAGGTCTTCCGTTTGCTCGATACCGATTGTAACGTTTCGGTGTGGCTCGCTGTGGTAGATAATTCCAGGGCATTCTTGTTAAGTGTCCAAACCACTTCATTTGTTGTTCTTTGATGACCTGTAAGACTGGCTTTATTCCTAGCATTCGTTTGATTTTGTGATTTCATATTCTGTCTTTCCTTGAAACTCCAGCAGCTCTTCTAAGGCATATTATCTCTGCTGTCACAATGTTACTTTTATCAGAGTATGTAAGTGTCCACGTTTGGCACTGATAGCATAGTGCTGGCCAAAAAATAGTTCTGATAAGATTCACTTTAGTACTCCGATGTATCTGCTAGTGTGTCAACAGGGAAGATAGTTGCCCCATTATTTGATTAGCTTTGGCACATCTCAAGCTAATTCCTTTAATTGTAATAAATAACTATTAATAATCAGCTTGCATACATGTACCGGCATCCCAGCATATCGGTCGGACTGATGCTCCATTCTCCGATGCAGCTGCCATCTCAGTTGTCTCCGTGCTGAATGTACCCAGTAGGAGTTGATTGGCATATCTTGTTTCTTTTCCCTGCAACCGGTCTCTACATGTGTCCTTATTTAATACCCTTTTCAAACAGGCGGTTCATTAATGCAGACTCCTTTGTCTCAACATTTCTGGAATGCGGCACATCCATATATAACACAGCGCTTTCATTTCTTTTTACCACAGCGGGTCCCAGTGTGTACAACCAAGATAGTTTCTTGAGGCTGAACTTCTGGATGCTCTCAGCCCGTTCTAGTCAGAGTTTGCCAGTTTGCCAGAATCTTCTTAAGCACACTCACTTAAGCACTATCAAAGCATGATCTTCTTTCTGTTCCGCCAGCCTCGCTCCTGCTTCTCTGACAGCTGCTTACTCCATCGTCATACTTGAAGTAGTTGAACTGAATGCCTGACTTTCTTTCTTACTGTCCTCCAGTTCACCGGCGCTGTGTACACCCACCCATAATGTACCCCACAAATCACTGAGCTATCTGTAAAGATGATGCTGTCACCTGGTCGAGTGTGCTCATGGATGAGGTCGTTAATTTCAGCATCAGCGGCTGCTGGGGTCCATTCTCTGCAATACCTGCCCAGGGTGATTATTATCTCAGTGTGTTCCTGCATTATTTCTAGTGCTTCTATTCATTCAATGCTGATTTTGACATGTTCCAATAGGCAAATATGGCTAATATTGTCCTCTGCTTCCGCCAACGACCACTCCCTCTCTAGGTGCTTACCTTCGTTTCCTGTAGGCAGCTGTGCTGGACATTTTATATCTGCAGCATCACCCAGGTACGCCTTTGTATGGGCCATTTTGTGTTTAGTGACCAGATCTGACAGGTCGAAGATGTATCGCATGATGTGACATGAGGTGTCTCTTGTGCACGCACAGATTAGTCTCCTGACTTCATTTTTTACTCTCCAGCAGATGTCTGCTGACTGTGAGGAGGCCAAGCCCAAAGTCAATCACTGAAAGCACCAAACATTGATAAAGCGTAATCAGCAGTCTTTGTTCTATTTTGGCTGCTATCATCACCCTGAGTACCGCCAGCCCTCTGTTAGCTTGGAAGGACAGACATCAATCAAAATGGATACCAAGATATTTAAGGTCTAGTGACCTTTCGATATCATCTCCTCACATACTAACAATGATCATGGGCATCTTGGCAACTGTTGTTTAGTGAGAACCATGTCACTGAAAGCTTAGCTGGGTTTACTCTAGCCCCTGATTACTCACACCCTCTGGTCCGTCTGATGAGTTCTTGCTGCAGCGCTTTAGCTGCCTCCTCTCTGTACCCTGCTGATACGTCAGTACATCACCAGCAAAGGACACAGTGTGCCCCAGTACTATATTCTGGATGGACTATTACTAGTAGCAGCAGAATAGGAACTTTACCCTGACTGCTAAAGATGGGAATGGAGCACTCAAAGGAATGTCCGAGTGCTGTAAAGTCAGTTCTTAACTGAACTGAACATAACATATGTTAGAACTGGTCCCATCTGGCAAGCATAAATTGTTCTTTAAACCTCTAATGAGTGATTTACTGTATTAGACGTTCTTCACATCATCATCATCATACAGCAAGTCCTTTGCAGAACGCCGCTCTGATCATAGTCTGTCTGAAAGAAACAGTCTCTCGTCAGCTCTCCTGTCTTGTGCACCTCTAAATCCAAGCCATCACTTTTTTATATCATGTGTCAATTTTTGTGCTGGTCAACCCCTGCCCCTCTTCCTGATACCATGACTTCCGATATTATTTTGTCTAGTCCAGGACAGTGTCTGATATGTCCAACATTGTCCAGCTTCCAGGACAAGATGTTGTTTATTAGCCAGTTTTCCTTGATGTTCAGGTCTTTTAAAAATGTAAAAATGTCTTTATTTATTGTCTTCTTTGTCCTTGGTATTTTGATAATCTTTCTATAGCATTTCAGTTCAAAAGCCCTATTTTTCGGCATTAAACACCGCGAGACAGATAGTACATGAGTAACATCGATATTTTGCTACAAGGAAGATGCATGCTCTAAAACGTTTGACTTGGATTTCCTTGCTGGTGCTTAACTATAGACATTTGATGCTTTTTTTTTCCACATCACATCACTTACCAAAAAAAATGATACTTCGTTTATTTTTTTTTCGTCGCCTTCGGCAGCTCAAACTCTGGCTGAAAGTCCTGGTTGTTCGTCCACTTCTAGACTTTAGTCCTGTCCCAGAACTTGATTTTTACGTGCATATCCATTTTACTTACTTGCTTCTTTGTATGCAGACCTATAGTTGCTGGCCTCTCAGGCAGATGCGTCCTGACTTTAAAGGAAAAGTCACTAATTAGTCGTCTTTTGCGACACACCTGATAGGACGGCAGTGGGTCTGTTCTTTTCCCACCCAACATTGGCCCTGGAACCCATACTGGAACATCATCTATCTGATATTATACATATTCCTGGATATCTCAACATCATCTAGGACAGGGCTATTCAACTTGTGGCCCTTGGACTACATCTGGCCCGCAGAGGTCTATCTAGTGGCCCGAGGACCTTTGCCAGTTGTATTAGTGATTTTTCTACTCTGAGGCTCGGGCTACTGGCCCGTGACAGTCCTCAATTTCAGAATGTTGGCCCCTGATTTAACAGAGATAAATAACCCTGATCTAGTACAACATAACCAAATAAAGCCACACGTTTTTCTGCTCATCAAAGACACCCAGACATATTTTCAGCAAGTAAAGGATTATTTCAAACCAGTAACTCCCTGTGTGGGTTCCGGGCTCTATTATAGGGTCGGGGGGGGGGGGGGGGGAGAACAGACCCGCTGCCTACCCAAAAGCATGTCATAAGAGTCAACTATCTGGGAGCTTCTTTCAAAGTCGGAGTGCATCTGTCTGAGAGGCAAGGAACCAGCAGTCTGCATACAAATGAGTCAGATCTGTAGAACGTATGCACATGCAACACTCAGGTTCTGGAACAGAACTGCAGTCAAAAAGTGGATGAACAACCAGAACTTTCCGCCAGAGTTTACAGCTGGTGAACGCGAAGAAGAAGAAACCAGTAATGCCTTGGGTATATGATGCTAGACTCATATATTATAAAAGAAATCAGCACTTGATGTGTGGTGTGGTCAAAATACCCAGCCGGCCGCCTTCCCTTCCTAGAATATTTTCTAATACCCATTTTAGGCTGGGTCGACCTGGGAGCCAAGGTCAATTGTTTTTAAACCAGCCCAATGCCGATTTGAACCAAAGACCTTTGGGCTGGCAGGTAAGCATCTGAGGTATTTTACAGTAACCCATTTTTCATCTTTTGTAACATGAACAGTGAATTCTTCTTCTTAGCAGTGACCAGCTGTAAACTTTCATAGAAAGTTTTGGTTGTTCATTCACTTCTGGACTTTGGTCTCATTCTAGAACCTGAGTTTGTGCGCACATCCATACAGATCTGTATCTTAAAGATCTGTATTTTTTTTATGCAGCCTGTTGGCTCCTCGTCTCTTAGACAGGTGCACAAAAAAAAGGGGGGGGAGATACATTTTTTGCCAAACTCATGATAGATTATTTAGTCTTATATTTTCCTGTTACAAGACCTATTTCCACGCCTTCAGGTGTTAGGCGTATAGGGGGGGGATGGGGCCTGAAACCCACACAGGGAATAAGAGTGAATGAGCATACATTTCTTGCCAAACTCATGATAGTCTTATATTTTCCTGTTACATGACCCTTTTCCACGCCTTCAGGTGTGTTGGGCATATAGGGCCAGGCCTATATTTTATAGACCAATCGGCACTCGGCTGGTGATGTTGTTAGCCTTCACTTCCCGGGACTTTACGTGGTACCTATTTAAAGCTGGGTCGATCTGGTGGCTGAGGTCATTTTCGAAGAAAAAATCTGCAGCTGAGCATTTTGCCACTATACAATGGTGGCTTCCAGATAGGAAGTTGCATCCAGTAAATTTTTTTTTTTTAGTTTACTCTCTTCTATTTCGGTTTGCTTTTATTTTACAGACAAAATAACAAAAATACTGTTTGAGGATCAATCCCAACCCCATTTGTTTAGCCCCGTTACCACTTTATACGACATCAAACTTTCCTACTTTCTAAATACTTACCTCAAACCACAATGCGTCTAAAATGTAAAGTGTCTGGAACATTGAGACCAATATTAGACTGGGAAGGATTGTACCAGTCTCTTGGTAAGCTTTTAGCACCAAAATCCAATCTAGAATCATCCATCCAATTAGGCCGGGTCTCAGCTCAAGGAAGAATTTCAAATCCAACATACCAACACGAGGATTAAGCTCACGTCCAACAAAGAAGTCATAAACTATGTTACCTGAAGTAGAGAACATACATGCTTTTATTTTCAAATGTTCAGAATTTTTTTTTTTTTAACATTTCCAAATTCTACTTACATTAGTATCTGAACTATAGTGGTGTATCAAGGTGTATCATTATTATGCAAAATCAAAACTGCCTTTCTGTATTTGTGTGTGTTGATAGGCCTGGGAGTTTTGAACTCTATTCATCAATCTGTTTAGGCTAGTTTTCTGGTAATGCACTTAGTATAGCTCTATATTATTCTAAGATATACGCCCCCTCACTCCCAGTACACTTTTGTATGTAAAGAAGAATAAGGGACAAGAAGATGCAAACAGGCTTGTCTCCCTGTCTCAGACTGAAGACTAAAACTGACCTAGTCGTCACCATTCAACTATGAGTGAAATCTATCAATTGCTCTGCAATCATGCTGCCTTAGAAGACAGTACCTTAAGTTTCTTTTAACCCTGATACTGTAAACTAACTACTCTGCCTTAAGATATCATTACTTCCTACATAGAATGAGAATTAAGAATCTATATCACAGTACTCGATGCATTCCCATAAGCACACCATTCCCATTTTAGCAGCAAGCGCAGAGTTCCTATACCAATGGTACCACTGGCCTTTCCCTTGAGTTTTGGGTGTTGGCCAGATCTCTTGGTCATTTCTTGCAGCACCATTCTCCTCAGGTCATGATGATCTATTTTGCTCACTAGCTCCCAGAGGACTTTTACAGAATCTAAAGGATGCTAACCACCTGAGACCTCTGAAACAATGCTTGCCACTTTCTGTGGAGCGTAGCCGTCTCCACTTTTCTCAAGATTCTCTGTGAGTCAATTACAATTAATTACGACATGTGTATATAGCTGGTTTTCAAGCCAGTAGAAGGCTACAACGACTGCTTTGACCTCCATTCTCAACTAGTGGTATTATATGCCCGGCTTTGTTGCACTAAGCTACTTTACTATGAACCCTCAATTCTCCCGGCCTCATCAAAGCTTTCGGTTTAGATAATAACATCACCTGGGCAGGAATTAGCAAGAACAATTTGCTGAGTTTCTGATTCAGCAGAGCCCGCGGGCCAGTCCCTGCACGCATGGCCCAAAGAGAACCCTACAAAAGTCTGATTGTTGCTGGGACACTGTAACCTACTCCTTTCCTTGCTCAATACTATCACGCCTGCACATGTAGAGATACCTTACTGTGCATTAGAGATACCTTACTGTGCATTAGAGATATGTTACTGTACATTAGAGATATGTTACTGTACATTAGAGATACCTTACTGTGCATTAGATACCTTACTGTATATTAGAGATATGTTACTGTACATTAGAGATATGTTACTGTACATTAGAGATATGTTACTGTACATTAGAGATATGTTACTGTACATTAGAGATACCTTACTGTGCATTAGATACCTTACTGTATATTAGAGATATGTTACTGTACATTAGAGATATGTTACTGTACATTAGAGATATGTTACTGTACATTAGAGATATGTTACTGTACATTAGAGATATGTTACTGTACATTAGAGATACCTAACTGTGCATTAGATACCTTACTGTATATTAGAGATATGTTACTGTACATTAGAGATACCTTACTGTACATTAGAGATATGTTACTGTACATTAGAGATATGTTACTGTACATTAGAGATATGTTACTGTACATTAGAGATATGTTACTGTACATTAGAGATACCTAACTGTGCATTAGATACCTTACTGTATATTAGAGATATGTTACTGTACATTAGAGATATGTTACTGTACATTAGAGATACCTTACTGTGCATTAGATACCTTACTGTATATTAGAGATATGTTACTGTATATTAGAGATATGTTACTGTATATTAGAGATATGTTACTGTATATTAGAGAGAGATATGTTACTGTATATTAGAGATATGTTACTGTATATTAGAGATATGTTACTGTATATTAGAGATATGTTACTGTATATTAGAGATATGTTACTGTATATTAGAGATATGTTACTGTATATTAGAGATATGTTACTGTATATTAGAGATATGTTACTGTATATTAGAGATATGTTACTGTATATTAGAGATATGTTACTGTATATTAGAGATATGTTACTGTATATTAGAGATATGTTACTGTATATTAGAGATATGTTACTGTATATTAGAGATATGTTACTGTATATTAGAGATATGTTACTGTATATTAGAGATATGTTACTGTATATTAGAGATATGTTACTGTATATTAGAGATATGTTACTGTATATTAGAGATATGTTACTGTATATTAGAGATATGTTACTGTATATTAGAGATATGTTACTGTATATTAGAGATATGTTACTGTATATTAGAGATATGTTACTGTATATTAGAGATATGTTACTGTATATTAGAGATATGTTACTGTATATTAGAGATATGTTACTGTATATTAGAGATATGTTACTGTATATTAGAGATATGTTACTGTATATTAGAGATATGTTACTGTATATTAGAGATATGTTACTGTATATAGAGATATGTTAGAGATATGTTACTGTATATTAGAGATATGTTACTGTATATTAGAGATATGTTACTGTATATTAGAGATATGTTACTGTATATTAGAGATATGTTACTGTATATTAGAGATATGTTACTGTATATTAGAGATATGTTACTGTAGATTAGAGATATGTATCTGTATATTAGAGATATGTTACTGTATATTAGAGATATGTTACTGTATATTAGAGATATGTTACTGTATATTAGAGATATGTTACTGTATATTAGAGATATGTTACTGTACATTAGAGATACCTTACTGTGCATTAGATACCTTACTGTATATTAGAGATATGTTACTGTACATTAGAGATATGTTACTGTACATTAGAGATATGTTACTGTACATTAGAGATACCTTACTGTACATTAGAGAGATACCTTACTGTGCATTAGAGATACCTAACTGTGCATTAGATACCTTACTGTATATTAGAGATACCTTACTGTACATCCCTACATTAGTGGTGTTTACTGTGGCCTTTAATGCTTTGCCCCCTAAAATCAAAATAGCTGACTGAGTGTGTACAAGGGTTAATACTGTATGAGTTACCTGTGCAACCTCCTGGGGCCAGCTTCTTCTTGCTAACAAATGTTGAACTGATAAAGAGACAAGCACTGAGGATGAAGCTAAAGATGATGCCTGTTGTCACCAGGCCAATGTATTTGTCAACTATGCTGGTCACTGGAAGTTGGAAATAGACAGCTGCTCCTAACAACAGCAGACTGATGACTGCAGCTAACATCCCTGAAACAAGGTTTCAACAATTGTATGACTGAACATAAAATGTGTCACTTACTAAGTAACTCACTAGACCCACACACATACATATATGTACACAACCAGAGACAGAGAGGGGTGGGGGTGGAGAGAGAGGTGGTGAAAGAGGGAGAAAGAGGAGAAAGATAGAGGAAAACAGAAGGACACTGAGAGAAACAGAGGGTGATTAAGGAGGGAGGAGGAGAGAAAGACGCAGACAATTAGTAGAGAAGGTGATTACAGAGGAAGAGGGAGAGAGGTAAGGAGCAGAAGAAAGGAAGAGAATAGAGAGATGTGGGTGAGAGAAGGAGTACTAACAATTTTGACGAGCGTGGGATGATGCCACAGTGTAGTGGCTGGAACAAATTCTGCTGCCAGATCACTGTTTATGCACACATATTATATTTAGAATACTCATTGTTTACTTCATATTTCTATTTATTTGTCTTTTTGCTTTCACTTATCTTTATTATATCCGGATATATTCAAAATGCTGTCTTGTTTACTGCAAAATCTACTTGACATACTAACCATTACACCTGTACTTCAGACGACCACCAGACTTAAGAGGCTGTCCCTCCACAACACAACCAACTGGCAGCACAGCCAACAAGGCTTGGAAGAAAAACCATGCCAGATATATGAGTGCTGCTTCAACATCAAACAACAATGCTATCTGCTGTGTAGAAAAAGTTGAAATACCTGCTTTGCCCTGTGTAAAGAAGAAATTAATACAACCATATTTTTATATACAGCTTCAAATTAGCTTAACTTTTGGGAAATTTTTGTACAATTTAATTAAGCACATGTGTCCCAGTGGACAATATGATTTGAAAATCAATTATCCTTATCAACACAAACACACATATGAATGTGTGTGTGTGAATAATTTTACATCCATCCAGCCGCGCCCCCCTTCCCCCCCCCCCCCCCCCACTGGGCTGCAAATGAATACCTGAAACGTTTCTTTTGTGTGTGTGGCGAATATATTCTTTAAAAAGTAAAGACGAAATGCATAATTTTTGTTAATGTAGTGACCACTGTGTTCGATGCAAGTCCTTCAGCGCAGATTTAGATTCCTGTATATATAAAAAAATGTATCTTGGTCGCGGAGGTAACAACTCATGCATCACCTACTATACCTTTTTGTTAGACTGAAAGGTCTTTCCTTCCAATGATTCAATGAGTTGTCCACACAGGTGGAAATCACTTGGGGCTAGGTGAGACCAGTACAAGGAATGTGATACACACTGAAAGTGGAGGTCTTTGCGTGAAGTACTGTGTCGAGCGTTATCATACTGCAAAAATCACACCTTTATTCGGAAATCTCTGTCGTTTGGATCTGACTGCGGGTCGAAGATGATTGCTGAGAAGATCTCTATATGTATCACTGGTGACAATTATTCCATATTGGATTGTAGTGCTCTTAAAAAAAACCTTATTCATTCCAAAAGAGAGTCAGCATAACCTTCCCTGTAGATGGCTGCATGTGAAACTTCTTTGGTTTTGGTAAAGAGGAATGGTGCCATTCCTTGTTTGCTCTTTTTGTCTGGGCTGAATGTCAGATGGGCCCACGTGTCCAATTTGTAACCCTTTGTAAATAAAGTTTGTTTCCTCTCCGGCTCGTGGTAGTAAACCCAGATATCATTTCTGGTAACAATACTCAATAGGAAGCCATCTAAAAAGCAGCCAACCTAACCATACGAGATCGAGTGAATAATGAAACTATCAGGCAAATTGTGGGAACAACACCTTGTACTAGATTCATCGAGAAACAGCAGATCAAGTGGTTTGGCCATCTCGTTAGAATGCAGCAAGATCAAATACCATCACAAGCACTACATCTCAGAAGACCAACTTCAAGAGCAAGAGGACGGCCGCAGAAAACATGGATCAACAACATTAAAGACACTACGCCTTCACGGCATGACAATAGCCAGTGGCAGCCAACGTACACTGGAACGCAAATTATTCCTCCCCACGACGCTTAACAGCAGAAGTGGTTTATGATGATGATATATATATATATATATATATATATATATATACACACACACACACACACACACATAAGCATGTGTGTATGTGTGCATAGTGTGTGTTTGTGTAAATAAGACTTATGTGTCCCAACGTGTGTTAGTAAAAAGGGTAATTACTTTCTATTATTTTAATTTTAATGACTACAACCGAGTCCATGCTATCAGCAGTTTACAACTTCTTACCTGTAAGCAAGCAAAGCTGACCCAGATCAGAAAAACAGGTAATAATATGATTATCAGAAAAGCTCCAAGTGGTCCAAAGAATTCATAATGTGGCTGTTTACTTTCCACTCCAGCATCCACCCTGTGGTGAGGTGGTGTAATGATGTTGGACAGCAGTTCTGACTTCAGCTGCTCTCTTAGCCGGGATGATTCTTCTTTCTGCAGAGTATTTATTCAAATGATTACAGATGCATTGTTATAAACAGATTTTGCTAATGTTATTACTAAATTGTTCACATAAAGTGGATTTGATTTGTGGCATCAACAGAAAGACAGCTGAGCAGACAGGCAGGTCAAAAAAAAAGTTCAAGTAGTTTTCATTTTAAATCTCAGTATGTGAATAAACAAGTTAAGAAGACCTTGCAGGCAATAAAGATGTGGTTTCAGAAATTACAGTTGTGAATATCTTAGGTGGTCGGAACAAATAACAATGATTAACTAGGGAACAGTTGGCTGATTAAAGTAGAAAATTATACAAGACTGCAATAAACAGACAAACTGTTCATCATGAGAAAAGAGGCACTGGAGAATACTGGATAACTGGAAAGACCAGCGTTAGGCAAGACAGTCAGGCCAAGCGAGATGATACTGGATAATACAAGATAGAAGCATGGAGGAATATCCTCAACAGATCTGATCCAATACCTAGGGACATAGATAAGCTGGAGTGACATACAGTTCAAAAGCATCTAGTCAAGCCAATCCACTGAATGAAGTGAAGACTAAATGACCAACCTTGGTCAGATTGCAAGAACAGGTCAAAATGAGTGAAGTTATAAGAGTGGTGGTGTGGAGGAAGATCACCATAGGAACTGATCTAGAACAGCAGGAACTCAGTGGAGAGACATTTACCATAGCACCAACAACTGACAGAGGTACATGATGATTATTCCCTCCAAGGCAAGGTTCTCATTAAAGCTTCAAACAATGAACACTGCTCAGACAGTCAACAGTTATGTGTATTCTTCTCCTGCTTTGTTCCCTCCCCCTTGAAAGCGTGGTTGACAAATTTTTGTGTGATTTACAGCTAGACTGTGATTTATGCACCTTTTGGCCCAACACATCTGATTTCAGCAAATCCTTAACGTAAGCACAGTGGGTCTATTTTTTCTCCCCAAAAATGTTGGGGCCACAGAATCCACACAAACAAGTCTTTTATATTATTTCAACAACCAAGCAAACAATTATTTGAAAAACCAGTGCATATAATGTATGTATACCAGTTCTAGTTCTATTAGTATGCTTATATAACAACAACACAAAACAACTCATACCTCCTTCTCTATAAGTGCAGCAATCCTTGATGATGCTCTGAAGGGAGTAACTGAAGCAAACTCTTGCCCTGATGAAGATTCTGATGCATATAAAGATGAGACAACAGTTCTCTTTGTCAATGTCCTTTCTTCAATGTCTGCCCCAGAGGATGGTTTTACTTGGCTGTTTGACTGGCTAGCTAAAAGCTTCCTAGCAGCTGCCTTATGAAACAAACCACAACAAATATACAGTGCATGTTTGATTGTGCACATGTGTGTGTGTGTCAGCACAACCAATTCCCAACCTGTAGGTGCACTGTTCATAAGGTGTTTAACTGAAACGGCACCTAATGGATAGTGGTCAATATCACTGTGATCATGCATTTTCCTCCCAGAACATTAATTACTGGTACCCATGTAGCCTGAACTGACTTGGTGTACATAAATGGGGAGATATTCCCCTTTAAAAAGGTGGTTGGCATGTTGTAAGGTGGTTCACAGCAAAGCTGTGATATCAGAACCTTTCAGTTCAACACATCCAATTTTAGCTAATCCTTAACTAGTCAACTTTCCTTTAACCCCCCCCCCCCCCTTCCCCAAAAATTTGGGAGAAACCACACCAGGACAATATTTTTAAAAACTACTACTGACCAGCGGATAAGTATTATAACCACAGCAGGCCTAACCACCCCTCCCCCCCCCCCCCTACAAGGTTATGCAGTGCTTCATTAATATTTTAGCCCAGATGACATCACAGGACAGTCCAACATTTTAGAGGGTGGTAAGACTGGGTTTACTGGCTTTATGATGCTTTTTACGACCCCAAAACATCTACAACTGGCCCTAATCCCAACCCACCTACGTTCAACGAGAGAGTGCAGCCTAGGTACCATGATTGCATGCAGCCTACCACTCCTGAAGTATTAAACTGTCCCATGACCTGTGGATTTCCCCTGTTTGGGGTTAGATATTAATAGAGCACAGGTAATGCCTATTTCATTTAAACTGGAGAAGATCTATTTCATCAATAATAAGATTTTTTTAAGCATTAATTGTTGCTTTTTAAATTAATGAAGAATGATGACTAGTCAAAATAATCAAAAAGCTTTTGATAGAGTAGCAAGAAACAAACTATGGTCTATTCTTGAGGAATACAGGATATACAGATAATTGTTAGATAACATCATGGTCATGTACCACACTTCCAAAAGCGCAGTGAGAACACAAGAAGGCATATCTGATATGTTTACAGTCAATCAATATGACTAAAACTGAAGTAATGCAGATGAGTAGAATTTCTAGTTCGTCACATATCAGGTTGATTGAAGCTTGTCTGAAGCAAACGTAAAAAATGTAAATATCTAGGAAGTTTGTTCTTGGCAGAGGGGAGAATAGATCAGGAAATAGAAACAAGATGCCAATTAGCCAGGGCACTTAGACACTGACACAGTTATTATGACGCCCAAACATAAGTATACCAACACTGTGCTACCAGTGCCAGACTTGGACAGCATCAAAGACTGATGATTAATGATTGGCACCTTTCTGTCTTTCCAAACAATGGTGTTATACTGCACCATAAGGGGGCATGGGACTCACAACCCATGATGATGGCAAGTGTGACTGACAACATTAAGAAAAGTCTTCCACAATTATAGTATGGGATTTCAGGATCATTGTTGTCAACCTCTGTGTTTAGTCTGTTTCTTCTCAGGCACTTAGCTCTCATCCTTTCTGCAATAATTTCTTAATTTATTCTCATTCCTTTCCTGATGTGTCCCCTCCACACAACACAGTCTTTGGCATTTTGTTCTCAATACCAGTATCATTCATGTCCTGCTTGCACACATTGTTATATCGTAGTAGAGGTCGGCCTCGACATCTTCCACCTGTCTTTAGTTCACCATAAAGGATGTCCTTAGGAACTCTGCCATCCTCCATCCTCCAGGTGTGACCAAGCCCTTAAGCCTTCGTAGACTGAGCATTGAGAAGACTGTTGAAGTACCTCCTCAAAGGTCAATCTATGTAAAATGAACACCTGTGAAATGAGACGATTGAGAAAATCTGCCAACTTAGCCATTCAAGACAAAGTTAGAAACGCTATTATCAGACAGACTGTGGGAACCATGCAGCAAATTCACTGAGAAGCAGAACATCAAATGGTTTAGTCATCTAATAGAATGCAGCCAAAACAACCACCAAACTCAGGCACTACACATGAAAATATCCGATGTGAAAGCAAGAGGTTGCCCCAGGAGAAGAAGGACCAGTGAAATTAGATGGAATTGTGACATTAAAGAGCTTTCAAATCAATACAGAATGACAAAGCCACCACTGCCCATAAAGCAATGGATCACAAACTGTTCCTCCCCATGCCACTTAACAACAAAAGTGGAAACTGATAATGATAAAGATGATAATAACCATAATGACCTGATGTAATAGACTGTTAATCTATACATCCTGATGTAAGAGACTGCGAGCCTATGCATCCTGATTTAAAAGACTGTGAACCTATGCATTCTGATGTAAGAGACTGTAAACCTATGCATTCTGATGTAAGAGACTGTGACCCTATGCATTCTGATGTAAGAGACTGTAAACCTATGCATTCTGATGTGAGAGACTGTGAACCTATGCATCCTGATTTAAAAGACTGAACTTATGCATCCTGATGTAAAAGACTGTGACCCTATGCATTCTGATGTAAGAGACTGTAAACCTATGCATTCTGATGTAAGAGACTGTAAACCTATGCATCCTGATGTAAGAGACTGTGAACCTATGCATTCTGATGTAAGAGACTGTAAACCTATGCATTCTGATGTAAGAGACTGTGACCCTATGCATTCTGATGTAAGAGACTGTAAACCTATGCATTCTGATGTAAGAGACTGTAAACCTATGCATTCTGATGTGAGAGACTGTGACCCTATGCATTCTGATGTAAGAGACTGTAAACCTATGCATCCTGATTTAAAAGACTTGAACTTATGCATCCTGATGTAAAAGACTGTGACCCTATGCATTCTGATGTAAGAGACTGTAAACCTATGCATCCTGATGTAAGAGACTGTGAACCTATGCATCCTGATTTAAAAGACTGTGACCCTATGCATTCTGATGTAAGAGACTGTGACCCTATGCATTCTGATGTAAGAGACTGTAAATCTATACATCCTGATGTAAAAGACTGTGACCCTATGCATCCTGATGTAAGAGACTGTGACCCTATGCATTCTGATGTAAGAGACTGTAAATCTATACATCCTGATGTAAGAGACTGTGACCCTATGCATCCTGATGTAAGAGACTGTGACCCTATGCATTCTGATGTAAGAGACTGTGAACCTATGCATCCTGATGTGAGAGACTTTGAACTATACATCCTAATGTAAGAGAATGTGAATGAAACTTTGTAAGACACCTTCTATAAAGGTGTGCGGCTCTGTGGTTTTGAAGTTAATAAATGCATTTCACAGTTTCATTATCTTTAACGTATGAGGGTTGAATTTCAGCAGCAGTTTATTTTTTGCTTAGATACTGTTCTTGTGCTATTCGGATAGTGGTAAAAGAGTTACACCAAGGAAGAGACAGAAGACATCACCATGTAATATTCCCAAACTTAGTAGTGTGCGGACACTGCAGCAACCTTCACCATGGAGCCGGCATACCTTTTTTCTCTCTCTAAATGAAGTTGTAACTGCTTACAAAAATATTAGTTCCAACTGTGTCTGTATGACAAGATACAAAAGAGCACAAACGAGACACACCTCTCTGTCTATGAGTGTAGCAATCCGTGACGGTGCTCTAAATGGAGTAACTGATGCATGCTCTTGCCCTGATGACTGTGATGAATACTGAAGTGAGACAACAGTTCTCTTTGTCAGCATCATTTCTTCATTAACTGCCCCAGATGATGGTTTTACCTGGCGGGCTGGTGACTTCCTAGTAGTAGTCTAATGGAGAACAAATAATTAGGAAATATAATTAGGGCAGAAAGTTTGCTTAAATTGGATAATGAGGATGTGGTGGTGGAGAAAGAGAACGACAACAACACTGATGATGCCAACACTCCACTTATTCTCAGGACATGCCCAATATATTGCTATCACCTATCTGTCTTATAACAGTTGGTACCGGTGATTGTTCGGATACATTTCTCACTACTTTCAATGAGGCTAAATACACAGTGGAAACAGATATAGCAAGAATTCTTTAGGTATGCTCCAACTAGATGTAACAAGCAAGAAAATATATGTCGGCGTCTGTGGCTTAGGTGTTGTGAATGCACTTTGTAATGCCAGGGTGTCGGGTTCGATCTCAGCTGCGGATGTTTTGTCTTGCGTTGGTTTCGACAGTGGTACCGAGTGCTGACCATTCAGAAGCAATGACAAACTACTGAATGCAATATTTGCCTAGAAAAACCATAACAGCTAAAAAAAAAAATGCTGGGGTTGGTTCTGCAATGCCCTGTAAAGGATACGCAACTAACATTCACAAGAAGATATTACATACTGATTATGGTTCAGCAGGGTGAGGCAAGTATGTCCTGTTTAGTACTGCATGAGTTTCATCTCTAGGCTATACAACAAAGATGGATAATCAAAGAATGAATGAATTAATCAATCAATAAAGAACTGACATCGTGCACTCAAGGCATTTCCATATGTGCTCCGTTTTTCTTCTCAGTAGCCAGTGAAGAGTTCCCATACTGATGATGACAGTGGAAACCTGACTAAAATTTTGCATTTTCCCAAGTGGGATGAAAATTGTCCAGATCCTCTGCTCTTTTGTAGCAGAAGAGAATCACTCTCTCCAGATACAGATGCTCTATTCTGTTGCACTGTTTCCTCAATCCCAGACAGCCTTCACTAAGTGCACTTTATGATAAAGTAGCTCATTGCCCAGAGGGCGGCAGCAGACAATCTATCAGCCTGCTCATTATCACGCACACCCGAATATCACTGTCAACAAATTAAATGCAAGACATACTTCAGATCTAAGTTTTAACAAGGTGTGCAAGTCATTCTGAGCGAAAGATACCAGTTTCTATTTTCTGAAGCATGTCCACTGATGCAGTTACATTAAGAACATTTCAGGTTCTCTCACACATCACTTACTCTCCAGCCATTGGGAAGCTGCAATTTATGTTTCCATCTTTGGTATTCTTGCCAGATGCTGTGATCTTATATGCAATGCTTTCATTAAAAAAAAAAAAT